TTGTTCTGAATCTCTGGATCAAGCTAAACAAAAACAAAAACCTTCCACTTCCACCCGGTCCCAAGGGATATCCAGTCATCGGAAATATGTATGGGCTTCCCCACCGCTATCCCTGGCTAGCATATGCCGAATGGAAAGAGAAATACGGACCCGTTTCCTCTTTCACTGTTTTAGGAAAGACTACCATTATCCTGAATTCGTTGCAGGCGGCCAAAGACTTGCTGGATAATCGCTCGTCTAATTTCTCAAGTCGCCCACGTATGGTTTGTGACTCGTCTCTGTTTCACGGTTTATAGCATGGGTCTAACATATCTTAGGTTATGGCAGACGAGCTGTTAGGTTGGGAATGGGATTTCGCTCACATGCCATATAACGAACGATGGAGGTAAGCTCACCTGCTGAACGGAGCAATGATTCTCAGAAAGCTTACTATATGTCCCACAAGGAAACATCGAAAAATGTTTTTCCAATATTTTCAGCCGAAATATATCTCGGTTTTCAGCCCGTTTCAGAGGAAAATGGCCATTACTCTTCTTGATCAATTTTCCGCTTCTCCAGCTGATTTTATTGCACACATTCGGCAGTATGTTGTGTTTGTTTCAATCGATCCAGTGGTCAATATTCATGCCATCTCTCAGATATGTTGGATCTGTGGTCTTACATGCAGCATATGGCCATGAAGTGAAGTCAGATAATGATTTCTATATCCGATCAGTGCAGCGGGCCATTGAGCCTCTCATACATGCAATCCATGCCACTGGATCTTTCCTTGTTGAATTTATGCCTGCTTTGAAGCATGTTCCAGGTATTTAGCATTATTTTACTACAACAAAGAAAGTGGCCTGAAGCTTCTTTTCAGCATGGATACCAGGTGCAAGCTTCAAGCGACATGTCGAAACTGATTCACAAAAGGTACGGGACCTTCGTGACATTCCGTTTAAGGGTGTCAAGGCGTCAATGGTAGTTGATTCTCTCGTGCCTCTTCCAGCTCTCATATACTAACCTTTGTTCAGGCTGATGGGAGCGCTCGACGATCATTTGTATCTGATAATCTGGATAAAACCACACCAGTCTCAAAAGAGGATGAAGAAGTGGTTAGAAACTGTGCTGCAATTGTTTACCTGGGTATTCCGCTTTTCTTGTCTTCTCGCGTATAACATTCCCTAATTTGTTTGATTTAGCCGGATCAGATAGCGTGCGCTGACGTCGCAGAACTTGAGGCCAGCCTTACTGATTTATGTTTCACCTTATAGACTGCAGCTCTGATAACTGCATGGGTTCTGGCTATGGCGCATTACCCGGAAATTCAAAAGAGAGCTCAAGAGGAAATCGACCAGATTACAGGCGGGTCAAAGTTACCTGGACACGATGACATAGACACACTGCCGTATCTTCAAGCCGTCCTTTTAGAAACACTGCGGTGGCATTCTGTTGCTCCGCTGGGTATGTGATGTCTTCGTCAGGATGGACAAACGCTCACAAGGACATCTTAGCTCTCCCCCACCAAGCACTATCCGAGGACGAATACAACGGACACCGAATTCCTGCCGGTAGGTTGATTATCTTCCATTCGCAACGAACTTCTTACCGTATACAGGTGCCACTATCACTGTCAATGCATGGTGAGTGCCCATTCTTTTTTTCTTTCAATTATTACAGCAGAGATTTATGTACCGATCTCTAGGGCAATCTTTCACGACGAGGAAATCTACCCTGACCCTTTCAGGTTCAACCCAGAGCGATTCTTACATGACGGAAAAATTAGCTTCGACCGCCAACCAGACCCTACCTTCGCAGGCGGATTCGGATTTGGTCGACGGTATGTCTTTATTCTTTGTCCGTCTGTTTTTAACTCATAACAAGCTGCTGCGCAGAATCTGCCCTGGACGGCATCTTGCAATGCAATCCGTACGGATGGTTGTGTCATCTATTCTAGCCACATACAATATCAGCAAGGCTCTCGGTGCAGACGGCGTCCCGATAGAGCCCTTAATCAAGGCTACAGACGGAGTTGTTAGGTCAGTATTCAATGTTTTTAACACCTGTGTGTCGACACTCAAAGATCGCAGTCACCCTGAGCCGTTTATGGCGAAGATAACGCCTCGTTCCAAGGTTTCTATCCAACTTATCGAAGATGCGAAGATGGATTTGTTTTTCTGACGGAGCAGGTGCAATGTGGAGGTTCATGCCTGCGGCCCTCGGTGTTAAGTTTTGTCATATTTATTCTTATTCTTATACTGTGGTTCCAGAACACGCACGCACTACTTATACTCTTCACTTCATATTTTAGTTAACCTTGTCATATAATAACTACCCCATACTAATTGAAAACGCCATCACATGATTTTTTTACTGCGATCTCCGATAAAAATATCAGGGCGTGCTGCGGCCCCGTCATCCTATAATCACCACGAGGTAAATTAGAGGCATATGGGACCGACAGACAAACTGGCGGAGTAGCTGAGCGCTCGTAATTTGAGGTTCACAGAACTTGTCGGAATATGTCAGAATCCACAGCAGGCTGCGCGGCGCTGCGCCTCGCGTGTTCCATGGCACCACTCGAATTAGCGCCCATGTGGTTAACTGAAGTCAGTATGTATATGTCAGTGAAGTCGAAGCCTATTCGGCATTCGTGACATGTTCCTGGATCCTGATACCGCAGTCTTTCGAATAAACGGCTGGACCGAAATCCAACAGAAATCAATATATCAAGCAAGTACTGCGGGTGATATCTGCAATCCGCATAACAAATGGTGGTATTATAGAGATATGGGTATCCCGTGCCCAGGAAGGCATAAAAACAAATGATGAGTGACGTCCACAGTTGGAGAAATGATGCTAATTGAGGGTTGGCGCCGCGCCTTTTGCATCGCGAGATGACTCCTTCATCTTCGCTTTGCCTGCGGACGCAGCATGCTTTTTGGCCGCCTTGAACTTTTTCATATGCTCCACGCTAAGTATACTCACATCAGTGCGAAGTTGCTGCGACGTCGGGGGAAAATAATTACCCCCACAATGCCGCCTCAGCTTCACTGATGCGCACTTTGTGCATATCGACGCCGTAGTCGGTCAGAACGTCGATAAACTTGTGGAAGTGCTGATGAAAAATGTTCACGTAAGTATCTTTCTGAAACAAATGGATGTGCACTAGCATTGTCGGATGTCCTGTAATGCCCGGATAATGGGGAGAGTGTGTGTACGACTCCTTGTTTGACGGAGATAAGACCAGCGGACGTCACTATTCCGCCGGAGGTAAATGTCGAGTGCTGAAAAGTGCCCGTTTCTGATAAACACCATGTGCGTATTGTTCAAAGACCCGCAGTATATAATACAGGGAGATAGGACGCGAACCTTTAATCCCGATGAAGACATTGACTAGTCACACGGGTAGCTTAGTATTGACATTGATTTACAGGCGTACATTATCATGGGCCTACAGTGTTTGTCCTGAAAAGATGATGCTCAATATTCTAATCATAGTTTTGCAAGTGAAACAACTACCGAGACGTAAATCCAGGTATTGCGTTTGACCATCTTCCTCAGCAGGCGCTGCATCATTCCGTGGCGGATGAACCGCTCTCGCAAATACCTCGACCAGGTATACTTTCCCTTCGGGGATCCAACGTAGTGTGTCGCGTCTTTAACCTGGTCACCTGCGTCTGCGTCCGAGCACCCAGGCTGTGCGGCAGCATGGAACGGCCGACGCCAGGTGGGGAGGCTCTCCGGGACAATTCCATGGCCTGCTCCTGCGTCCTTCCAATCCCCTGCGGTCGTGTCGACAAGCTGGTTATTCTTGGCCCAGTAGAGCTTCCCCTCCACATTGACCTTGACGAGGTAGTTGAGACCTATATGGATATGTTTATACCTAGTTGGGTATTTCATGTGGCGCATATTGATGGAATCTGACTTACGCTGTTCGGCCGAGAGGTAACTTGATGGCGCGATGATCGGTTTCTGGTCAGTGCATTGTCAAAAATATAGACGAAAGAAATTCACAGTATACGCTAGTATAACAAAATTAGGTGACATCCAAGATAGTCGAGATCGAGCGTACCTCGCTTTCTAATCGTTCGCGGGGACATTGATCGAGGGATACATTTTTTCCTTGGCCTTGGTTGAGCCTAGCATAGAGCCATTTGAATAAGGTCAAGGCAAAAGGGCATTATCGCGCTCACCAATGAAAGAAATTCTCCCTTGTGTCGTCGTCTTGCCATTTTTTATGGTACCACTGAGAGGTGTTCGTCTAGTAGCACTGAGTGCACAAGAACTCGTGGCTCACTTTGACTGTTATTTTGTATCAGTTTGCGCGTTGCAGAACGGAGGTGAGAAATATCGGCCAACTCAACGATTAGAACCATACCGATGTTTTCTAAAAGAAAGTTTTTCTTAGTCCTTTCACAAGGTACGTATATATGAAAAAGCCCGCACCCGTCAATTAGCTCTAACCAATGCTGCGTCTCGAGCAGCTTATCGTCGGCCTCAATGTCGATGCCACCGTCCTGCAGCATATTGTCTGATCTGGCTAATTGACCCACAAAAAATGCGGCGCGTCTCCAACGTTGGAGGGGACTATTTCTACCATTGATGGCCGCGTTTCTATTCACCTGTAGATCATCGGCGTGAATAATAGGGCATTTAATCGCCCATCGAGGCCGGAGGTAGTAGCCCATAACTTCGCCCTACTTACTTCGAGTCTTGCACTATTTGCCGCGTCCTCCCATCGAGCCTCGCTTGTCATGTGTTCGTCTTTAGCTTTGTTCTTCCGTCCTCGCCATAGGCGCTGAATGAGCACTGCAGCAGCAATACGGGCAGCTTCGCTATCCATTTCTGTGTTGTAGTCCTTCCGAAAGACCATGGAAGTTGTGTTGTAAACTTGTAACGAGCATAAGCTGCAAAGCATAGTTTAAGTTGATACTTGTTACTTCAACTTACAGTTACTAGAGTAAGTTTAGTAGGTGACGATTCTATGACATCAGGGTATAAAGAAAAGCAAAATTATTAGCCCACCGCGAGGGTCGAACTCGCAGCCTTCAGATGATCTTACGATCTAACCCGCCTAAGAGTCTGACGCTCTATCCGATTGAGCTAGGCGGGCGATTATCAATTAACTACTTTGTAAGACATGGCGTATGGCCGGGATTTCGGGACAATCAGCTTGTCAGCTACTGCGGATTGTCATGAGAACCGGCTGAGATGGCCGTTGGCTGTGCAACGGTCAGGTCGATTTGTCAAAACAATATATATTGTTAAGAATCGGTGATACGAAGTTTTGTCGGCGCGCTCCACGTATGTACGGACGCATCGGCGACGTGATGAGAGTCACTCGGCGCAGTTGATACCGATCTGAGAGAAAGAGCAGGTAGGAATGGGAAGAAGGGAGGCTTGAAACTGTGTTTTCGATTGGCAAAAGGGAGAACATTGGGCATGATGTTCGCATGCAATGCAAATGCAATGTGCTTGGCTTGAGATCGAGAGGCTGGAGCACGGCTGGAAAAAGCGTGGGAGGCGGTCCCAATGGTGGCAAGAAGACGCCGTGTGGGCGAAAAGACGAATGGGGATGCTTACATAAGTGCGCAGCACCTGTATATGGAGAGACAGCGGATTGACCTCTGTTTCTTCCCAACCTCCATCTCCCCCTCTGACTCTGTCCTCCCCTGCCGCAGCAGTAAACATTAACAATGTCTGAAGCACAGTCGTATGCGCATGCTTTCGACACGTACAACAACGAGCTCGCCAAGCAGCAGAGCTTCGACTTTTTCTCATTTAACTCCCCTTCGGATGTCGTCGCCCCCCATCCCGATCTCTTCGAGTCCGATATCGACTCTAATTTGGCTGCCTTCCCAGATCAGCTTCAGCTATTGACTGTGGACTACAGCCTCTTTAGGCCTGAGCAGACTCAGTGGCAAGGCCCACTTTCCACCATAACCGTCTCCTCCCAGTCCCAGTCTTACGACTCTTTGTCTTCCCACTCGGAGTCCCTTTACAACGAGCAAATCAGCCCCTACGCTCCCGCCGCCGTCAATAACTCGCAGCTCTTCGATTTTGCTGATCTCGACATGGACTTCCAGCGAGTCCGCGTCGGCTCTGAGTACAGTATCCCATCAAGCATCAATATCATGGATGATGTCAACGACCCTACCTCCTTCGGGGCGCTTCCTCCGACCCCACCGCGCAGTCCTCCTGTTGCCCTGAATGTCGGCAACAACAAGTCCTACGCAGCGCGCACGAGCTTTTCTGACTACGGTCCTCCTAGTAGGCGTGGTTCTTCCTCGTCATCCGATTATTATGGATACGCCTCTTCTCATGGCCATCCGACTGTGTCGCCATTGCATATATCCTCTCAATTACCCACCATGGCGTCGGTATCACCGGAACCTGCTGATGATTACAAAGGCGACCCTCGCAAGAAGTACCGATGTGCGGCATGTCCCCGAGGTATGTACACGTCATGTTCGTTGCTCAGCCACATGGTTGACATTCTATTTTCCAGCTTTCGCTCGTGCCTATAATTTAAAGACTCACATGGCTACGCATGACCCCAACAGGTTGAAGCCCCATGTCTGTCCTCAACGCTCCTGTGGTCGGTCGTTCAGTCGGAAGCACGATCTTGGACGTCATCTCATCAGCATTCACCGCGACGAATCTGTCAGCGCCTCCCTTCTTCCTACATCGAAGAAGCCTATTGGCGTCGAAAGCGGATCTCGGTCTTGGTGTGATACGTGTGGCAAGGGCTGGGTAGGCCGAAACGTCGACTGCGATTGCCACGACATCAAGTAAATGAGTCTCCACGCTTATATTTAGCCTCTTTCCTGTGAGTAACTCGTTCTCATATATTGTGAAACACTATTGATATCGTCGTTATAGGCACTTGCTTGCAACCCCGTCAGTCGCGTGTCAGTGATTTTATGTACGACTTATTTGCATCATTGCGCATAAGTTCGCTGTCCCGCCCTGCGTCATTCGTTGTATCACGTTTCGTACCGTCGTAGTATCTGTTGCTCGGCCCCGCGACGGACGTGATCTCGATATGAATATCCTCCCTCTTTTATATACCACACCCTTTCGCGTTATTTCCAAAAGAAACACTTGCTGAATATGTGGAGTCGTCTTTCCTTCTATATGCTCTTTATCTACTCTATCTCTTTGCGTCTTGTTTTCTTCTGTGTCGATCATTGATAAGCTGCTAGTGTTTGTCTTTGTTGTCTTTGAAACTTTTACCTGCGCCTGCCCATTGATTTTGTGATGTTCTATCTAGTTTAAAATACCAAGCGAGTTTGTGTTGCATAGAAGAGTTTTGTGAGTGAAATTGTGATCGAGATTTGAGTGAAACACCAGCAGTGGTAACCGTATGGCGGATAATAATAGATATGTACTTGCTTGAACTGCCTAGCGATTCAAATGAGGCTGAAGTGAGTATGTAGCAGGATAATGTTCTTATATACAAATAACGATAGCAAAGCAATACATGTTAGGAACTAGGTAGTTATACAGTGCCTTGGCGCAAGAATAACATGACGATAGCATAGGCATTCGCCACCACAATCACACACCAGATGACGTACGAGATGGTGGCCAGCCAGCGAGTGTTGCTGTAGTCTATAAATTCATCGGCCTCAACCGGCATAACCTCTGCGGACTCCATAGCCGTCTTTATAATCGTCTCCTTGAATTCCATCTCGAGGTTGACTTGTGCCTGTGAAATGCCTACCTCAGGCACGGCGTCCGTGGGTGCCGCCGCGTCCTCCTTGCTCTCGGTCTCGGTCTCGATGAGTGCATCGCGCGGTCGTGGAACGCGCATGACGACCTTGCGCGATGTGAGGTAGATCAGCGGGAAGGCGACGAACGGGAGCACGACGGAGAGCACGACCTGCGACGCAACGAGCAGTGTATTGATCCCGTTCTGCCCGACGGCCACCGCGACTATGACCGACGGGACGAGGCTGATGCAGCGCGTAAGCAGCCGCCGGAAGAACGGCTGTGGGGCGGGGCGGTCAGTAAGCCGGCGCGGCGCAGGCGAGGGAGGGCTACGCACGGAAACTTTCCACTCGATGAAGCCCTCGGACACAATTTGCCCGGCGAGGGTGACCGTGATGCTCGACGTCTGTCCGGCACACACGAGCGCGAGCGCGAATACGACGGCGGCGCCTGGTTCGCCGGAGGCGTGAGCGCGCGCGGCTATTAATAGGATATGGGGACTGACCGTCACCGAGCCGCTCTTTGATTAGCGCGTGCGCGTCAAACAGGCCTGCAGGCCTGCCGCGCATCTCGCCGTGGAAGAAGACAGCAGCCGCGAGAATCAAGATCCTGCGGGCAACGCACATCAGTGAGATAAGGGGCGAGGAGAATAGGCTGCACCGACGCGGAGTTAATGGGAACAGCAAGCGCGAGAAGACTCGCAACGACGTCCGTGACGCCGTGCGAGAGGTGCGCGCGGATGAAGCTATACGGGTTGTTTTGGCGCTCGCCGTGCTTGGAACGGTAATCGATCGCCGAGGCAGCACGGTCGGCGCGTGTAACGCGGAACAGCGGGCGGACGAACTGGCGAAGCCGTGTCATGAGCGGCGCCCTGTTCAGCGGCGGCAATGACGGTGATATTTCGTCCGGGTGTACGTCTGAGACGCGGTCCTGCGTGGCCAGGGAGGAGCCCAAAAACAGCGCATGCGGCATGACAGTCGCACCGAGTATTCCTACAGCTGAGCGCCGGGGTCTACAGTGTCAGTGTTCCGTGCAAAAGCGAGGGCGATACCAAGTTTACCTGCATATACGGCATCAGGATCGGACTGGAATAGACCTTTGTCGGGGAGAAATCCCATGAAGACCTGTGACCAAACTGGACCTGCTTTGACGAGCAGTGCAACGAAACATCCGAACACGGCGAAGACCTCGATTGCCAAGTGATAAGGAGATGTCCCATTTAGCCGCGTTCTGTTTAAAATATGCTCACCAGAGCTATAATCGTGTACTCGAACACTCGGACAGGTCGCCCATGGGAGCGTGTTGGGTCACTGAATGATAAAAATACCAGGACATCGGCAGCTGTGAGGACCACCCCAGCCCATAACGGTAGTTTCGGGAAAAGCAAGCAGAAACCAATGGCAGAGCCCAATAATTCGGCGAGGTCAGTGGAAATAATAGCAATCTCTGCGAGCACGTAGAGCGGATAAAGGACGCATCGTCGGACAAGCTTGGGGTGCCGTGGATGATCGTGGAGAAGCAGCCTGCAGTGGCTAGCGAGATCTACACCGGAGCGTTCAGAAAGATATATGACATCAGCGAATGGCGCTGACCGAGCCCTGTTACGCAGCCTAGTTTGGCGGACAGTGTCTAGAATTGCAGAAACTAGTCAGGGAATTTTCTGAGAGGGTGGGTGAATGCACCCTAGCCTGAAGAACGACCGCTCCCAAGCCTGCCATCAGGATGACAAAAAGCATGGGTCGATAGCCAAAGCTGGACCCCGCTTGGAGATCGACGCTCCAGTTTCCGCTGTAAAGCAGCCAGTCAGCGACGTATATGCGTTTTCTCCAGCAGACATACGGGTCGAAATACGCTACGGAGCATATGATGCCAACACCGACATGCCGTTTAACATGATGAACCGCTGTACGGGCTACGTTTTTGACTCTGTCGACGACAGTGGAGGCGCGGCCATTGGGAAATGGCATACTGCCGAAAGAAAGGGGACTGAGGTGGGCAGGGCGAGATTTAGGGCCATAATGAAGCGCGTCAAACCAGGATAACGGATAGAAATGCGGTGTGAAAAGAAAAGGCTTCCCGTGTGTAATGCTATAAAGGGACCAGTGTTATGGTCGCGCGCCACGCTGTTTGGCGCTCCATACCTCTGGCTACACCCCTCAGCTATACTCAATGGATATAAATGACCTCCACCCTCCCGACGACTACACTCATCGGTTTTTTATATGGCACGAGTGGATACAGGTTCGTCACTGTAGCCCTGAGTGCCTTCGCCTAGTAACGGGGCGCGTCAGGCGAACGGGCCCTTGACTTCGGAGAACGTGTTCGAATACTTCGCGACCTCCATGTTCTACGATAAACAGAGCAACAACCAGGTGCTGCGCATGCAAACCATGCACACTG